CCCTTTACCCCCACCCCCGGCCCCAGGGGTTCGCCCGCACCCGTGATTGTGGTTTCGGTAGTCTTGGGGATGAAGATCGTCAGGGGCATCTGATCAGGGTAGTCCTGGGGTTTCGAGGCGTTGCCGAGGTTTAGTTGGGGAGTTCGATGTTAGAGGACGAGCCCTGGCACGGGCAGCAAAGATGGGCGGGGAAGGTGCCCGGGCGGCGACGCCCTCGAGCATGGCGCCGGTGGGGGCCGTGCACGGCGTCCCCCACGCACCCCGCATTACGCCCCAAGCCTTTGATCGAATCAATCCTCAGATCGTGCCCGGTGTCATCTCCCAGATCAGATCATCCCCCAGATCTCGGCCCAGATCTCGGCCCGGATCGCACGTTGGGGTAGTTGCAGATCATCTGGACCCGCACGAACGCCTGAGACACGTAAACCAGGGCGTCGAACTGGAGGTCCCGGATATGAAGAGGCATCGCGTCCCGCACGCCCCCGTTCGTGCGGGCGAGGCACACCATGGGGCAGCTCGCCCGCAGCTGCGGCCCCAGCCGCGCCCGCGACGGCCGCGCGCCGCCGGCGGCGGCGAGCGCCGCCTTGGCGGACGAGCCGGTGGCGGTGGAACGCGCGTCGGAGGCGGGCGGCCGCGGCGGCAAGCCGACGGAGGGGGAGCTGCTCATGAACTGCTGGGGCGGCGCCTGCTGCGGCGCCGGCCTGGGGCGCGCGCCGAACGCGTAGGTTGCGCCGGAGCTAGCGCTCGACGCGCCGCCGCCGCTGAGCTGCCGCGACAGCTGCGGCTGCGGCCCGCCGCTGTTCTGCCGCGGCAGCCCCCCGCCAGGCCCGTACTGCGGGCCCGGGCCGTAGTGTCCCCCCAGCTGCCCGCCGGGGCCGGCGTAGGAGGGCAGCTGCCCGGTGGCTTCGCGGTTGCTCGTCAGCGTCCCGCCTGAGCTGCGCAGGTAGGACGTCGGCGCGTAGCTGCTCGGCGGCAGCGAGTGCATGTGGAAGCTGGCGGGAACCTGGGGCCCGCTGGTGGCGTCGCTGCTGCCGCCGTCAAAGGAGTGGGGGGCGTAGCCGGTGGAAGACGACGGGTGCGCGCCCGGCCCCGCCGGCCCGCCCCAGCCGGCGCCGGCGGGGGCGGGGGCGGGGG